AGTGTGTGGCTGGGTAGTGGAGTGTGTGTCTGGGTAGTGGAGTGAGTGGCTGCGTAGTGGAGTGTGTGGCTGGGTAGTGGAGTGTGTGGCTGGGTAGTGGAGTGTGTGGCTGGGTAGTGGAGTGTGTGGCTGGGTAGTGGAGTGTGTTTCTGGGTAGTGGAGTGTGTGGCTGGGTAGTGGAGCGTGTGGCTGGGTAGTGGAGTGTGTGGCTGGGTAGTGGAGTGTGTGGCTGGGTAGTGGAGTGTGTGGCTGGGTAGTGGAGTGTGTGGCTGGTAGTGGAGTGTGTGGGTAGTGGAGTGTGTGGCTGGGTAGTGGAGTGTGTGGCTGGGTAGTGGAGTGTGTGGCTGGGTAGTGGAGTATGTGGCTGGGTAGTGGAGTGTGTGGCTGGGTAGTGGAGTGTGTGGCTGGGTAGTGGAGCGTGTGGCTGGGTAGTGGAGTGTGTGGCTGGGTAGTGGAGTGTGTGGGTAGTGGAGTGGCTGGGTAGTGGAGTGTGTGGCTGGGTAGTGGAGCGTGTGGCTGGGTAGTGGAGTGAGTGGCTGGGTAGTGGAGTGTGTGGCTGGATAGTGAAGTGTGTGGCTGGGTAGTGGAGTGTGTGGGTAGTGGAGTGGCTGGGTAGTGGAGTGTGTGGCTGGGTAGTGGAGCGTGTGGCTGGGTAGTGGAGTGTGTGGCTGGGTAGTGGAGTGTGTGGCTGGGTAGTGGAGCGTATGGCTGGGTAGTGGAGTGTGTGGCTGGGTAGTGGAGTGTGTGGGTAGTGGAGTGGCTGGGTAGTGGAGTGTGTGGGTTGTGGAGTGGCTGGGTAGTGGAGTGTGTGGCTGGGTAGTGGAGTGTGTGGGTAGTGGAGTGTGTGGCTGGGTAGTGGAGTGTGTGGGTAGTGGAGTGTGTGGCATGGCAGTGGAGTGTGTGGCTGGGCAGTGGAGTGTGTGGCTGGGTAGTGGAGTGTGTGGGTAGTGGAGTGTGTGGCTGGGTAGTGGAGTGTGTGGGTAGTGGAGTGTGTGGCTGGGCAGTGGAGTGTGTGGCTGGGTAGTGGAGTGTGTGGGTAGTGGAGTGTGTGGCTGGGTAGTGGAGCGTGTGGCTGGGTAGTGGAGTGTGTGGCTGGGTAGTGGAGTGTGTGGGTAGTGGAGTGTGTGGCTGGGTAGTGGAGCGTGTGTGGATGGGTAGTGGAGTGTGTGGGTGGGTAGTGGAGTGTGTGGCTTAATCGACTGCTTGACGTATGGTGGAGCGAGCCCATTTGAATCATTGAACACAACTAGGAGAATCTTAAACCCATTGCGGGCTTGAACTGGAAGCCAATGCAGAGACGTGATAAGCACAGATGAGGTGCGGTCCCGAAAATGCGAGTGAGCACCCTGGCGACCGCATTTTGGACGGACTGCAGTCTACTGAGGAGGTTACTCAGGGCTCTGGAAAACAAGGAATTGCTTGCAGTAGTTCAGATGTGAGAAGACGAACGCCTGGACTGGTCTCTCAGCATCTAGATAAAAAAATAACGTGGTGCAGCCGGGTCACATTCCTTAAAATGAAAGAGCGATGTCCTGACAAATTTGTTGACGCGTGAATGGAAAGATGAAGACTCATCCAAGAAGACAGCAAGATTTCTCGCTTTGCGTGTTTGGCAGACGCTCTGACCACCGATCACAGGATTGAAAGGGCCAATCTTGGACTGCTGCTGGGGGGAGCTAATCAAAATGATCTCGGTCTCACCATTGTGAAGTTGGATACAATTCTTCCGGATCCAAGATTTTTACGAATGACAGCGACGGTGTGAGGACACGGAGTGCGATCCCAGTCGAATGTAGATCTGCGCGTCGTCCGTCTCGCAATGGTAACGCAGCCCTCGCCGCTGGAGCAGAGCTCCAAGCGGGGCTATGTACACACTGAACAAAGTGGCACCTAGCACAGGCCATTGAGCGTCGTCATATACAACCAGACTAAGAGAAGGTCTATAACTGCGCAGAGTGGCATATTGCACAGGGTTTGCAAGGGTAGGAGTGAAATCGTTGCAGGGTGGTGCCTGAGACCCCCCTCCCTTTAGAATCCTATAAATAAAGAGGCATCTTTATATTTATTTCTGCAGATTTTTTTTATCAATGAGCCCACTGGCCTTCCAGATTACAGGTGATCCCCTGACTTACGACGGCTCGATTTGCGACACCCGTTTTACGACCTTTCTTATCGTAATTAAGACTCCCACAGTAACGACCAAAACTCGTATCTACGACCGCCTAGTGACTGATAGCGCTGCTTTGCTCTTCTGCCGTATGCGTATGTCGAGTATAGTCCGACAGTCTGCAGCTGCGCCTAGAGTGAACGCAGCATCTCTTTTAAAACGCTCTTCACTTTTTTTTAATTTTTTTAAACAATTTTCGCCTTCTACTATGTCTGAGAAGAGGATATGTGATGCACGTGCAGAAATGTATTTAAGGGGTTTTCAAATGTAAGTGTTTGTTTTTACTTAATGTTTGGAAAAGTTATTTTAAGTTACGGTACATTTTTGTTAGGATTGTTTTTTTTTTCATGTTCGTGGTCAATTGTGGTATTTGATGGCATGTAATGGGTTTCCAGGAACAGAACCCCAAACGTGTGACATTGCGCTTATGGGAGATGAGGGTTCTGCGTACGGCGGCTCGACTGGCGACCGTCGCACAGGAACCAATTAGGTCGTAGGTGCGGGAGTCGCCTGTAATTCCATGCAGCAGCATTTGTATACGGTCCAATAAATCCCGTGACCCACATGGCCTGGGAGGCTCTCACCTACCAGCGGATTCATCTTCTTGGTTCTTTCGGTAAAATCAGCGGATTGTTTTGGCCTTTAGGATCACATGTTGATTGGTTGTCAGATCCTATCGGTGACACGACTCCCATCGACATGACCAGAGCCCTTGTCGACACGACGAGCAAATCTTGTTTCAATACTCATCGTGCATTTGTTGTGATATTGGTGACAATTGTCAAGGGTCAAGCAAATAAATGATACAGACTTCTGACCATCTCTGCACGTAAAAAGGAAAAATGTATGTATTAGTAACGTCGTGAAAACTATTTCCCTTCCGGAACAATGCTATGCAGTGGTGGTCCACAACAGTCCAATCGTGCTGTGACGGTTCCACCTGAAGACGGAAGCTTGTGTTGCCTCCGAAACGTCGTGATTTTTATTTTATTGTCATCATCTGAACCTATCAGGTGCAGAGATCAGAGGTGGAAGAGGGGGGGGGGGTATTATATAATAGGTTAGTAATTCGTTAATTAGTATGTGTTTCTTCAATAAGGAGTTATAGTTGTAAAATGTATTACTTAATAATATGCTTCCAGGCCGCGCTAAGCCTGTAGTTGTCAGAGCGGTTAAAGTTATTTTTTATTTTTTATCAATATCAATGGATTCTCGAATTAGTCTTGGCCAGTAATAATTAGTTTTACACAACACTTCAACGTTATCAAAATCAATTGAGTGTTCTTGTTGGCTAAGCATGTTCTGCAACCGCCGACAGTTGTGTTTGAGAGTATTTAATATTTATTTGGTGTTCTTTTAATCTTACGCTGATGTTACGTCCCTCTGCCCTCTGCTGCCTATAAAATTAACCCCGCAGCAAATCCTGCTTTACTTCCAATATCATCTGATGAGATTGGGCTTCAGTCATTGGATCACATTTTGTACTGCAGCGTAACTATATGTTTAGATAGAGATAGCATCTAATATTACTCGTAATAAAGAAAACCTTATCCCTCTTATCAAGTGAATGTAGATTTATTTCACGACCTCACTGCAGATCCTGTACCCCCCACACACCTTGCAGAGAGTACAGCGCCTACTATCGCGACATCTCGCTGGTGGCTTATCGACACATTACTAAAAAAAAAACCCAGTCTCAATTTATCTCTCTATATCAGTCACCTCTCCCTATAGTTCTAGATCCAATCGGCTCCAAAATCAATGTCTGGGAAATAAGTGCCGTGCGTTTGCTATTCGCTAAGCTCCACGCGGAGATGACTGCCTAAGAATTTTCATGAGTGGGCCTGGTAATGCATCGACTGGTTTCCCTGTCACTCTGTATATTGCACTGTTATCTGGCCTGTCAATGCAAAGCTCTTTTTCATCATCCGTCTTACTGCGGTTATATTTATGCTCGACTGCGAATTGAAGAGCGATGCCGTTGAGGTGGCATGCAATGAAATCATACCTGTCACAGCACTTATAATAGTTATTGTTATTATTTTGGATGGGTCGGTCTCTATTCCCATGCCCTTGATCGCCAGACACCCATCCAAGGATGGCTGCACTCATCTAAAGTGGAAATCAATTGGATAGTCATTGAAAAAAAATCCTACTCCACCAAATGACCTCATATTTTGAGTATATGGAATATACATAAATGTATCTAAAACCAGAATTAAGTATAAATACGGGTTAGTCCATCAGTGGGTTAGCTTGCCAGGACTAATGCCCGTGTAAGATTATGTAAGGCTATGTGTCACAATGGGATTTGTTGTGATTCTTAAAGAGTTGGTTAATTCCATTGTCTAAAACCATTGAATTGTCCTATGATCTTCCAACGAAAATAATCTGCTTAATTTGAGACCACATTTGTCAATATTTGATCACATCTGAAGTAACCATGCACGCAGAAACACAGTCAGACACATGTCATGGTCTCGTTCTCGACAACTTGATGTGGCAGTGGTTATTATGGACAGTGGTGGTTTTTTCTGGTCCCTGTTATAGGAATGTGGAATTTCCACCATTTACTTTGAGCCCACCAGTGGAGATGACCAACAAGATGCCCACTCGTGCATGGAAATGTATGTATGTTGAACTTCTTTCGCACTGTACGTAGCCAGCTATGCTAATCGGAGGTACGAGATGAACAAACGTTTTATTGATGAGACAAACCAACGCTATTGAAATATCAGGCTCTACTGTAGTTGGCTGATATTGTAGTAATTGTTTCTGTTGATGCGATTGACACTTGTTCTTGTGTTCTTCTGTCCATCTGCTGTGTACACAGAGAGCTGCAGCAGCAGGTTATTGCACTGGCATGCCATTACAGCCTCAGAGACTGCCAGGATCAGGCAATGTCCCTCCTGTCACGCTGGATGGCTGACGGAGTCAACAGGTGAATGCACAGCATCCCCGACCACACAACAGAACCCTTGCAGACCACAAAGATACGTTTGTTTTTTTTATTTTCTCTTGGTGTGCTATGTGACTTTGAAGAACTGGGAACAGTTTTTTCCATTTTGTCTATAGTCTATATATGTGCGTTTGTTTGTGCGCATGTGGGGAGTTGGTTTCACAGCGGGGAACACAGGCGGTGCATCTGCCAGTCATCTCAGTCAGTTAACCCTTAGCACCTGAGCCTGTTCCATGACTCCTCGCCACATAGCCTTCTACACTTTACGTGGCCTCAAAGCGCACATGGTCACTACGCGAAATCTATCCTGGCGCAAGTGCTGCGGTGACATCACCATCACTAAGTGGCAAATGGTCGCTCTTGTTATTGGTGTTGTTGCTGCGTGCATGTCGTTTCAATGTCAGCGGATTAGCGGCCAGTGAACGGCTGTACAATCCCAGTGAGCCAAGTGTGATTCCTGGTCGTGCACAACACCGATGGCAATTGGTATCTGAACCTATGTCTGGACCTCTTGTCAGTCCACAGTGATGCGTCTAATTGCGGTGAGTGACATCAGTGCAACGCCTCTATTCTTGCTGTGCTGGTGAAGGTTACCTGCCTGAGTAGTGTGCACTACGTTATCTGCAATGTCCTGTTCTTCCGGTGATACCTAAGTTTGTGCTTCGGTTTACCTGCGTGTCGTGTGTTTATTTGTTCCAGGTAATACTTCACAACACAATGACGCTGCGTAGTATGACACATCGAATGTGGAGTAGGAATAGACTGTGCCGTGAGAATCTTGGGGACTCACACTGACCCTCCCGGACAAGTTAATGGCTAGCAGTGAATGCTGTGACCCATGATCATTCATCATAAAGGTTTTTGGGTTAGATCGTGTAAGTATGAATGTGTTGTAACCCTCCACCACCCGACACAGCCAGTAAGGTTTTTCACTTAAACAACGTGCCAATTAGTTACTACTTCAGCCCACCGGTGTGTTGGAGAGCAAATCCCCAACATTTACAATTTTACTAGCACGATGTTTCACTGGTAATTACATCCAGCATCATCGGGCAATTTGCCAGAAATAATTGGCGCGTTGTTGACGTGACAAACCTTACTGGCTGTGTTGGGTGGTGGAGGGTTACGACACATTTATACTTATGCGATCTAACCCAAAAACCTTTATTATGAATTATATTGGTTGCGAAAGCCTACGTGTTAAACTGACCCATAATAATCTATGTGTTATAAAATAAATAATGTTCAGCCATCTGTCAATCCACTGCTGAATGAAGGCCCTCCCCATGCCGTGTCGGTCATTTGGGGGTTGTTTGACCATACTTCACCATGCTGATCAGTGTGCGTTGGTGAAAGGGGTTGCCCAGGCACCATTCAGATGAAATAAAAAAAATAAAAACTCTCAACTGATGTTTACCATGAGAATAGGTTTTCCCCTTTTTTCTGACCAGTGGACGTTGTTCTCACACCGTTTGAGACGAGGCTCGAAAAAAAGCAGTCTCTGGTGTGAACCAATCAGTTTAAAAGACAATGCATATATTTTTCTTCTTGGTTCTTTCGGTAAAGTCACGTAGAAGGGAAATAATAAAATAATAAAAATAAAACATAATAAAATACAATTCTCACGACGTTTCGGCCACAACGCAAGCAGCTGTCCTCAGGTGAAGAACAGGGCTGTCGGAAAGACAGCGTCTGAATGAACACCACCAAGCTTAAATATACGCTGCCAAGCTAGGTGGTGTCATTCAGACGCTGTCTTTCCGACAGACCTGTTATTCACCTGAGGACGGCTGCTTGCGTTGTGGCCAAAACGTCGTGAGAATTGTATTTTATTATGTTCTATTTTTATTATTTTATTATTTCCCTTCTACGTGACTTTACCGAAAGAACCAAGAAGATTAATTCCTGCAGTCACGAAAGCTTTAAATCGAAATTTAATGCATATATTATCAGAGTATATTTTTTGTTTGCATTCTGACCACAGGTATTGTGGTTAATGCAGACATGATTCCTTGTAAAAGTTTTCAGTTTGGTGTTTTAACATCTTAACACAGCTGTTTTGTTGCCAGAAAAAAGGGGAAAACATATTCTCATATTTTGGTACTGGCAAAGGGGAGGTCCCATGATGATGTTAACCATGGCCGGGAATCGAACACAGGTGACCCAAGTCAATGCACAGTGCAATAAGCACTGCGGTGCTACCACTCCACCCATTCGTAATAGATTCATTCTCATTAGGCCACTTGTCATTGACTTGTAAGTTATATTTACCTTCAATTGATATTATATTTAACATTTACTTCCCTTAATACCTATAAGATGAGGGTAATGATATATTGTGGACACCGTGTATAATATTCTTGGGTTTTTTCTGTCAAGTCACGTAGGTAAAAATTTAAAATTAAAATTAATAAAAATGAAAATCACGACGTTTCTCCGTGTATGATGTTAAATGGGGCATCACAGCCGTGCTGTGCTTTGTACAATGACCAGCACACGGTTATACCAAGCTGATGGCACCCAGGAGCTCGTTGAATGGGTCCGTCGTTTTTGCGATGAACTGAATGCGTTTGGGGGAGACTTGGGTGCACGTGAACGCAGCGCATGCATTGAAACGATGTGCGTAATGTGTGCACCTGCCAACATTTGCATGCACACACTCGTGTGGCTGGAATAGTAGAGTTTGGGTGGATAGTGTAGTGTGTGGCTGGATGCATAGTTTTTTTACACGCCAATATGGCTATGAAAGCCACAAGCTCTGGCTGGGCATTAAGATCCCTTAGCTCATGCAGTCACGTGTATGCAATTACCATTATTCTAATGTGCATCAAAGGGGCAATCTTTGTTCACGAGAGAAATATAATGATGTGCTATTCACTGGCGGCAGACTCCATCTAAGGATAAGTTCGTAGTTTAATGTGCAGAGTCAAGGTAGGAGGTATAAAGTGCAGTCGGCACATGGTCATTTGCTGATTATGTAAAGCATCACTTTATTAGTGAATTATACTCTTGGATCATTTCCAGGCCAAGGCACATTGCTCCACCTACTGGAAACCAAACCCATACACTGCCATTAGACTTAGAAGCATTCATGGAGGAATGTAAACACAAACAAGGTGCTAAACTTCTGGTTTAATTGCTGTTGTGGGTTGCTGCCTTTCGAACGTGCGAATACCATTCCAAAGTTCGTTTCGTACTTTAGGCGACATAGATTTCAAATATAGAGATTAAAGCACCAGTACGTATTGTAATTGGACATATCCGAACGTATCACCATGCATTAGCTTTGCCGTAGTGTGTGGATTGCTTATACCTCACTGATCGAATGCCTTCCCCAAATAGCAGCCATACATCACGTGTTTAAATGCAAGACCTAATGAAACACACACACACATATACTGTACTGGATAATTTCGGGTGGTGCAGTGGTAAAATGAACCGTGCTATGAATTCAGCCACCTGAGTTTGATTCCTGGCCATGGCCAACCAACAGCGACGAGCGATCACGTGATACCTGAATCGGTTGTGGGGTCATCCCTTCACCGAACCTCACTGACCAACGTGGTGCAGTATGGTCAACAACAACCGCCATTCGCCACTAAGTGGCTGTGACGTCACCACGACGCTTGTGCCAGGCTATGTGCACCTTGAGGCCACGTGAAGTGTCGAACGCCCGCTGGCAGGAGGTCACGGGGCAGACCCAGGTGCCACGGGTCGCCTGACTGAGACGACTGGCTGATGCAGTATGGTCAAACAACCCCAATGACTCACATGGCGCGGGGAGGTCCTGTAATAGTTGATTGACAGAGGGCTATACATTTCAGAATATATAGTTTCGAATTGAGTAGCTTAACATAAGCTGCTCAAATGAAAATGAACCTTTTTTTTAAACGTCCCTTGCCGATCTTCCCACTCCTAACCACGGAATGCACAGCTTGGGAGGGAGTGTGCTGACAAAGTGTTGTTAATTTTAACATTTTATGACCCGAGCAACAACAAAAAAAGAATCGGTGAAGAGAGACGCACACAGCATTACTCCATTTAGTAATTATCATAATAAAAAAATATAAAACTAAAATGAATCAAACACAAAGTTAAAAGACGTGCGGGCGCTTTCATCCCATCCAGCAGCTTCTGTAAAACTGACTCCAGCTGCCCCATTCAGTCGCCGCGGCTGGCCAAGTCGAAGCTTCTGTGGGTGGGTCATTATTGAGCGGCACGCCGAAATGTTGAAACGTTAAAGCGTTGGTGAACGCAATTTGGAAGCGTCAGTTTTATTTTCATTTTGACAGCAGCATATAAATAAACAAACCCAAAAAAAAAATTCTGCGGCAGTCGAAAAAAACGCACACTTACATGTCCTGCGGTGCAGCTCTCGTCTATAAAACATTAAACGGTTTACTCATTTTGTTGTTGTTGTGGTTGTTATTGCTGCCAATGTTATTACCGTTGCACCGCGGCTGTCAGGTAGGCGAGCCGAGCGTTATCTTATTATCGGAACTCCCAACTGAGACGCATTCCAGCAGGGACCAGCTGCGGACTGAGACGCCACAGGACCCGTCCCTGGCGCGTATAAGTCAATAAACCTTGCCTAATTCAATTGCGGAGAAATGAGTTTAGCACAATGCGGGGAGGCAAGTGAATAATTCACTTTATCTCGTGAATTATTTTCGTAGCCTCCGGAGCTGGATTACACCAAATTAAGTGCACAAGCCAATTCTCGACAATTTCCGCCTTGCGCTGCCGTCAATTGCCGGTCTGACAGCGGCAGCAGCAGCAGCACGCTTGCATGTCGGAACGCAACATCTGATTTAGCTCTCCGATACGCGATGTCGTTGGGTTCTGCCACTGAATTTTTTATGAAATGAACTCCTGAAAAAAGAAGTTCACAATCTGAATATGTATTTATACTGGGGGAATCCGATGAGCTATGAAGTTCTTTTTCACAAACATCCAATAGGGACTTGTTCAGAACATTACAACAACAAACAATATAAAAACACGATCAGAGTGCAAAATATAGGAAATGTAAACAAATCACTTACAAAAATATGTAAATAAAACTAAAGTTATTTTATGTTACCAGATAAAACCCACTGAGCTTTTTCAGGAGCGACCTCGCCACTAATGATAGCTCATTGAAGTGGCTTATCGCGTTGATGAGGGAAACGTCAGACATGGTGCCGAACAATCCGTACGACCCACAGACACGTGGAACAGCGGTACAACACAGCCACGAAAACCTCCGTACGGGAGTGGTCAAATATGGGTTCAACCCCAGAAATCGAGGTAGCTGGCCTCAATCGTTAGCCCCCTTTTGGGACCTAACCACCGCCGGTGAATGTGCTCCATCAGACATATTTAAAAAAAAACGCACGTGTGTAGAATTTCATGGGTCGCTGTCCGTGTGATGATGATCGATTATTCAAGGAGTGAGATGTTTACTTGCAGAATTCCGCCGAACGTGCGGGGCCTGGTTTACTGCGTGGCAGTTTCACTGTCGGGCCAGGATGTTTGGGACTTCGTGTGGAAAACCTGCCAAGCCACGTCCGCCGTATCGGAGAGAAAACTGCTGTTGGAGGCCCTCACTTGCAGTCGGGACAACACCACCATCCAAAGGTCAATTGCGCGTGTTTCAATCGCCTCGTGTATTCTGATCCGTCTTTGACCAATTCACCGAGAATGAGACCGATGTCATCACGTATGAGAAGCTAAGCAGGCTTGAGTCTGGATCGTGCTTGGTTGAGCGACCACTGTGCTCAACAGGTGCTATAGGCTGCAGCGGCGCGACGCTGTGGGCAGCAGAGGCACTGCCAGCAAAATTCATCGTTTTTCTGTGCTATATCCTCAAACTGTTATGCTCCCCACCTTCACCATCCCGCATTGACCAGTACGGTGAAGGATAGCCAAATAACGCCCGTGTCACTCACGGCGTGGAGAGAGGCCTTCATCCAGCAGTGGATTGAACAAAGAGCCATGCACGTGCACACATCCTGCAACCAGTCGAGTGGCGCTGTGCCAAGATCGCGCATCCCATAACCGCGTGGCCTGATTCTGGCTGGCGTCTGTCTCAGACCATCATCTCTCCTTCATCACCTGCAGTTGCGTCGACTTTTGGGGCGGCATGACCACAGCAAATGCCCTCGTATATTGGCGTTTCCACTCAGTTATTGTGCTATTTGCCTGCTTCGTCAAGAGTCCCAGGCATGTCCACATTAGGATGTGGTCCAACCGTATTGTTGACCTGATGTACGGTACGGCAGATGTATTCATCATAAAATACGTGCTGTCTGCACCACAGTGGATGTCAATGACCCTGTGATGATATTGAGGAAAGAGCGTCGGCCCTGTGTTTTGGTGGCATGGTCCAAATTCCAAATGTAAATTGTGATCCAAAATTGCTTGATTGGGAAACCAATAGCAACATCATCCCCCCCCTATTGGCACACTAAGGCCGGTTCTGCATTCGCCTTGTGCCGCATAAGGAAAGCTGCCATCAGGTGGGACCGCTAGGATAAAAATGCAAACACAAAAAACATACTCTGATAATATATGCATTGTCTTTTAAACCGTCTCAAATGGTGTTAGACCAGAGAACGCCTTTTGGTGTGGACTAATCAGTTTCAAAGACAATGCATATATTATTAGAGTATGTTTTTTGTTTGCATTCTGACCACAAGTATTGTGGTTAATGCAGACATCATTCCTTGTAAAAGGTTTCAGTTTGGTGTTTTAACAACTTAACACCTGTTTTGTTGCCAGATAAAAAGGGGAAACCCCACTGCTACTACTACTTTAATTTGAACACTTTTACGTATTATTGCTTTGTACTATTTAACACTTTGTTTGCTACCCGCTATCTTCTCACATTCAACTATCCGCCTATCAATTGTTTCAAAATGTCCACTTGCTACCATTTTCCCCATCGCTGTGCTCGGAGCCAGTGCCATGAAGCGAAGGATGCCACAAAAAACGACTCTCGGACTCCTGATCTGACACCTACGCTCGCACATTCAAACACGCACAACACCAATCATGCCGCCACGCAGATTCGCGTTAACTTTGCATTTTTTAAAAAATGTATTGCGCTACCAAACTTGCTATGAAATTGTATACAGATCTGGGCATTGGTATGGGTGAGATGTGTTTCATCATGATCAGTTTAGGGGGTTTGTGGTGTTCATGCAAACAATTGACATATCCAAAGACAGACAGACAGAGAAGAGAGACTGCCATAATATTTCCTGCGCGTAGCAATAAGTAGCGATGCACTGCCTCTGATGAGTTTTGGGGGGTACACCACGCGCTGTTCCGCACGGCGTCTGACAATTTTATCTGTACAAATGTTCAGGTTCTGAAGAAGCTCCCGCCATGTGGAAGCCAAATGTCGAACATCGCCCTGAACAACGCGCGGCACAACCTGAAAGCACATCAGAGGGCCTTGCAGCACAACCGTGAACGCCCACGCAGTGGCATGACAGCTGCCCACAAGTGAACTCGTGACCTCGTGGGCAGCTGTAAATCATTCGCTTGTCCTCCACACACAGGGCACTCACCAGGGCTTGTTGACGGATAAATACGTCCATGAAGTGAGATAACTGCCTTATTAGTGTCTCTTTAAGCTGGTACTTTAACCAGCCTGTCATGAGTTTGTGTGTGTGTGGTTTTTTAAACGTATAATTTGTAGTGGAAATGGCTTTGATGAATGCTTATGTCAACATCAAAGACAGTAATAGGGCTTCTCAACCGCCAAGCGTCCACGTGAGATTATTAATTTCACAATTGTTTGCCGTGGTCTTGTGGGAGGTTGTCTTGGGGGTTTATGCAAGCAAAGAAAAGATGACGGCTCAATTCGGTTTTGGCTGCTTGTGCATTTCGGCCACCGACGGTATTTTTCAAGTTGGGCTTTGGCAGTGAGAAAAATGTGAGCTTTGTGTCGTAAATCTACCCACAGCGCACGGTAAATCAGACGATCTGTGCCAACCATCGCTTGCGCCCCTGTTGCTCTAGGGACAGAACAAAAGTGATGTTTTTCTCCCGTCAATCTTTCATTGAAAATATAAATATGGACCGAGTATTTCCTTTTTTTGTATTTTAATTTCAGTTCGGTTTTTTTTCTCTCAATACTTTTCCGGTTCATTCCAACTTTAATATTTCCTCTCGTGAAGCTACGAGGCCGATCACTTTCCACGTGTGCGTGTGTGCTGTGGCCTCTCCGCCTATGTACGTCTTTATCGCGTTCGAATTCACGAACGATAATGCACACTTCCCTGTGTCCTGTATTTGACATTGGGACGAATTTTCAGAACTTGTTCGGAATGCATTATTCTTTGCCACTGAAAGGTTATGTTGGAGTCACTACTGAATAGTTAATGCGTCAATTGTTTACATTTCATTGTGGAGAATGTGACAACAAAAAATATTCTAGATTTGAAGCTTTCGTGACTGCAAGGAATCATATTCTTAGGTTTTTTCGGTAAAGTCACATAGGTAAAATATTACAATTAATAAAAGTAAAATAAAATAAAAATCACGACGTTTCGGAGGCAACACAAGCTTCCGTCTTCAGGTAGTACCGTCACAGCCACGACAGCTGTATCAAGTAAATGAGAGATTGCAGGAGCTACCACTCCGTTTATATTCCCCCCTCTCCAACCATTTTTATAAACGGAGTGGTAGCTCCTGCAATCTCTCATTTACTTGATACAGCTGTCGTGGCTGTGATGGTTCCACCTGAAGACAGAAGCTTGTGTTGCCTCCGAAACGTCGTGATTTTTATTTTATTTTACTTTTGTTAATTTTAATGTTTTACCTACGTGACTTTACCGAAAAAACTTAAGAATGACAAAAAATATGTCTCACTCGAAATAACGTAAGAAAAAACTCGTCCACTTTTTGCAACGTATTTTACGCGGAATTGCTAGAGACATTTAATCCAAGCTCATGTCTAACAATATATGCAATTGCCCAACTAAAATGAGAGGTGTAACATTTATTAAAACTGAAATCAAATCACACCAAACCAATTAATTTCTAGCTTGCAGGCATAACCAAAAGTTGGAATGCTATCTCACGACTAACAGATACTGCTAATCGGTAACTATATTTAAAGCAATTCCAACAATCAGTGCGTCTAAATTCGCTGCGCGGTATACGACAAAGCGGATGTATTTTCTAATGCAGCACATGAAAGATAATTTTATTAAAAATAACTTCACTTTCATTCAGAGAAGCCTGGAGAGGGGCGTTTGTGCAGTCACTTGACATTGAAAGTATAAAGACACGTGGCGTAGAGAATCAACAGCGAGGCATCAATTCACAGAGGCAGCCTTCGAATGCTGCTTGCCGTAGGTTTTCAAACTTGCCGCTGTACGGCTCTCCGATGTGTGTTTCAGGGTTTTACCGAACAACGTGCGGGAAAACCAGAAAAGACATCGTCAGAGGGCTATTATACAGCCTCAGAATGGTGGAACGAGTGCGGTTTGAGGCCAGGATAATGTACGAGGTTGTGGAGCCAGCCTCTTACATGCCATTCTTGCCTTCATTTCCCGAGTGGTGATGTGTTTATGAACTTCACTTGGTTACTCATTCTAAGCTGAGTCAACCCAACCAAGGCAAACCTTGGCCAACTTCAGATACAAATGGTCAAGACATTTCCAGAAATTCCAAAACTTTGGTCACTGAAATGTTGACGTAATGCCACCACTACCCACTCTCTAATAACTGCGACAACAACAACACATTTTTTAAAATAAATTTTGTCTTTCAAGGGCTCGCGAGCGCATAGGGGCGCCGTGGTGGTCGAGATGGTAACTGCCTCGCCTAGTATACAGGAGGGCTTAGGTTCGATACCAACCCTGACACCTGTGTATTTGGAGTTTGCATGTTCTCAGTGTGGCCGCGTGGATTTTTCGCCGGGTCCTCCGGATTTCCCCTCCACATTTGGAAACAACGTGCGTTGAAATTATTTGGCTGCCGTAAATTTCCAACGCGATAAGCCACTTCGGTGCGCTATCGTTTGCGGCCAGGTCGCTTCTGAAAAAGAGCTATGCAGATGGCAAAACAAAAAAAATTTGTCGTAGCAGTAGTAATAGTCTTCACAATCGTGGTTGCGCAGTACTGACCAAGAGAGTGAATGTGTCGGAAGGGGTTGGAGAGAGTGCTGTGAGATTTACGTTGAGGCGAGCAATATTGCACTCGCACAGACGTAGGCGTCTTGTTTTTGGAATGTCACACCGTTCAGCAGCGGCGATCACAGCGTGCCTTTTGATGACATTGGCGACTGCGCTGGTAACGACGATGCAAGCGAAAGCAGACAGCGGCCGTATGGATTTAGAGAGGAATAAAAACTCGCTTGAATAGATGCGTCTGTTGATCGGCTGTACGCTCCTCGATGCGAAGACTGGCTCTTGATAATTATGACAGTAATGCGCAGCTATTAAAACGTCGTAATTTCAGATGTATGAAACCCAGTGCAGCAGAGCAATAATAAAATGCACCGGGCGTGAATTCGTTCTGCATGCCATGGCAAAGCAGGGCACGTTTGTTGCTCTAAAAACGGTCTCGCACACATGCACTTTGCGCTTGATGACTCATTTAAAAGTGTGCCGGGCCACTCAATGCATTTTTTTAATTGGTTACATTCATTAAAATATTGTTGAGAATATCTTGAATTTAAACATATTTAGCTTTTAACAGTGTGCTGCACTCTCCAATCGGAAGGAAAACAGCTAAACCTGTCTGGACCGTGCATAAGGGTTACTCCAAATGCCACTGGAGAGAGATTGGTCTCGTCATGTATTCACGTGAGCTCTTTGTACAGAGACAACCTTCACCAGTGCTTAACCTATATGCTATGGCCCTCCTGTCAACTAACCTATGACTATCGTACTGTGTGTTTGTCTTTATATCTCTGTGTGGGTGTGTGCTTTGTGTGGGTGTGGGGGGGGGAGTGGTGGCGTAATGGCAAGTGCTCCGCACTCGTCAAAGGAGGGTAAATCAACATGAAAACTCTGGTCATGCTCACAGCAGCTGCTATTTGCTATCCATCGAACAAAGACGGTCGCTGCATCGCGCATTTTCAGATGCGCTTCTGCGGCTATCTGGAACGCTCTTCCTAAATTGAAAACTCATTTATTGAGAACTGCTTTTTTGTGTGTTTAGTTTGCGTTGTTCTTTCGCCGTACCTCCGATTAACACGGATGACTAAGTACGGCGCGAAAGAAGTTCAACGTACATACGTACCTAAACCCAGTGACCGAAGTGCGAATCCCGATCATGGCTCACATCAAGTGACAAGTGATACATTTTTTGTATTATTATATTTCTATTGCAATAACATGCGGACCTGCCAAACCACACTGGGAGAATTCCAACAACATGATACAACAGAAAATCCACAAACATCCTGTCCGGTGCGGCGGGACTACATGAAATGCGTACAATGAAGGGGAGTGTGGCAAAGTGATATCTGAACCAGTCGGAGACCTCCCCTACAAAAAAAATGCATGCTGACTGACAGCACTTCCTATGATAATCGATAATGTTAAAGGGAGATGGTTGTCTTTCCCCCTGTGTGTTTACGTGTGTGGGTGCACGTGTGTGCGCGCGCGTCTGTGGGTTAGTGTAGTGCAGTGGTGAGCGCGATACGCTGTGAACCCGGCGACCCGAGTTTGATTCTCACTGACAGCCAACACCAGTGGCAATTACTTGAACCGATCCTGGGCTTGCCCTAGGTTGATTTGGCTTCAAATGAGTGCCTGGTGTGGTGCGTGAACATCGTCATAGGGGAGACAAATGCGGCCGGGTGTGGTTCTGGCCACACACCCCCCGTGTTTGCCATTCCCTCCTTCATTGGTGCTCGCTAATAGCACTTGTCCCAAGTCTGTTAAGGCTAAATGTCGGATCTGTGTCTTTGCCTTTGGGTGTATGAAGAGTGGTGGCGTTGTGGTTAGGATTCTAACATCAGTGGCGACCATCTAAATGGGTCGTTGGCTTCCCTTGGGTCGACAGAGCTTCAAATAATTTTAGATTTGAAGCTTTCGTGACTGCAAGGATTCATACTCTTAGGTTCTTTCGGTAAAGTCACGTAGGTAAAAAATAAAATTTAAAGTTAATAAAAGTAATAATGGAAATAAAATTAAATAATAAATCACGACGTTTCGGAGACTTGTGTTGCCTCCGAAACGTTGTGAATTTTTTTTTTCCATTATTACTTTTACCTCAAATAATTACCTGTTGCAGTGTTTGAACATCAGCGCAAAGGCGGTCGGACATGGTGCTGGCCACACCACCCCATCAGTCTGTGAGGCTGGGCTATACATCTGTGTGGGTGTGTGTGTGAGCCTGTGAGCAGACTGCTGAGCACATCTCTCCATCAAGATCTCATCGCAGAGCAGGAGGCCGTGGACCTGATCATCAACATTGCCCACAATCCTGTGGGGCGCTCCTTGGCATGGGCCTTCCTTAGGGACAAGTGGCCGATCCTCAACCAAAGGTGCACCGGTTATTGCCAGCCTGTCCCGTGTGTGTGTGTGTGAGCTTGTGCGTGGCATGGCAGCGTGGTGTTCAGCATTGAAACAGTATTTGACGTCACCTATAGGATATCGCCATGATGTGGTGGTCACCACGCTGGACTTGCAACCATGGATGTCGCCGGTTCGATCTCTCGGCTTGGCAGTTGAAACAATGGGGCGGGATTTCATGAAGCGCTTTTGTCAGAGCGCTTTACAAGGATTGTGCATTGTACATTGGCTGACGGGGGAAAAGGGATTGGGGTTTGCCTGTTGTGGAGGGGAAGGGATGGCAAGGAAGGGTGATGGTCGGGAAAGGGAGGGGAAGGGGGAGGATGGTTAAGGTTGAAAGGATGCAGAGAGGACGTAGTCGAGGGATACGCTCTTGAAAAAGGTAGAGTCTTAAGGGAGAAATGGAAAACGGTGAGCGACGATGCCCGTTTGATGTGGAGTGGGAGTTTATTCCAAAGGAGGAGAGCCAGAGGGGGGAAAAAGCGGAAACTTGGCTGAGCATAGGGAGCGGGGGGGGGGTGCGTAGTGAGAGCCCACCGATAGAACAAACACCTGGCATGTGTTGTGTCTGTATGTAATGACACTCGATACACCACCAGTGGGGTTGTACAGTGGCTACACTGACCTCATCGCACAGGAAGAAATCCTATCATGCACGCTCCATATCTGCTTTGTCTAGACAACCCCGCACGCAAATGACTGTGTTGCCGATGCACGACACCACATTAGGCACACTGTTTATATGCATCGAATTTATGTACGCGCGAGTATTGTGGTGTTGATAACGCAAGCATGACGTGATTGTGCTTATTGTCGGGTGCCTCTGGTTACACATTCAGGTATGGCGAAGCACTCTTCATGACCGCTCGACTTATCAATGGCGTAACGAGATTTCTCAGTATGAGTGAAGAACTGGAGGAGGTATGGAACTCGACTTAAACACTCTCTTGCATTCAGAGTGGCCCACTTATCATTTCCCAAAGAGGAACGTGATATCATCTCTTAATATAATGCAGCAGCCACATTGCCCAATCCGTTCTGCAAGCATTGTGTCGCTCTTCACGATGAACACATTCTACCTGGATTGTGATCTATAAACACGTGGGTATTTGACTTTACTCTTGTGAGAATGTTGGCTAACACACACTCACACTTAGCACCTTCCAAAGAAATTAAGTATTAATATGTTTTTTTATTTCTCCATTTGTAGCCGTTCTCCGATCCTACGCCGCCACAGGGCTCACTCAGTCTTTGGTAAATTCTTGCAAAGGAATTGTCCCACACCCCCAATCCAAGGTCTTTTGGGTCGGCCTAGGCCTACGTTTGAATTACCGTCGTATCCCAGGCAGTCCCTGGGTTTCAGCATTATGTGTTCTTTTACAGAAATAAATCATAGCTCATACCAATTTGTTGCTTTCTTTTTTTACTCTCTCTTTCTCACTTTCACCGTTTCCCCAAACTTACTCGGTGAACCTTTTGGCGTCATCTGGTCGAACACCATATGAGATGAGGCTCTAAAGAAAGCTGTTCTCTGGTGTGGACCAATCAGTTTCAAGGACAATGTATAAATTATCAGAGTATTGTTTTTTGTTTGCATTTGACTGCAAGTATTGTGGTTAATGTAACATGATTCCTTGCAAAAGGTGTCAGTTTTGTTGCCAGAAAAAAGGGGGAAAACCCTATTAGTTTACTCGGTGAATATTACTAATTTGACTCAGTTAAAAAAAAAAGTCATGTTTACCTCGTTGCTTTTCTTTTTTTGACTCAGGTGTCCCTTAAAAGAGCCCTTAGTGTCGGTGGGCTCTCACCGGTTGTGAACTAAGCACAGGGATGAATGAAGGAAAGATTAGATTCACCTCGGCATGAATTAGTCCTTAGTTGTAAGACGGTGCCCACTGCATGATTTAGCCTCTTCTCGAGAGAAATTACAGTTTACAAAGTGCAGCATACGCAAAGTGCTGTGTGTTTACAAATGGGCCCATTTTGATTTGTTTTTAGATTAGCGAATACAGCATATTTACATAATAATTGCGTTAGAGAACATAACATTTAAATGTACTCATCGGATTTAGAGAAATTTACGAGTCTTCTTTTTTCCATTAAAGTTGCTAATTTATCACACAGCGATATTTAAAATTGTGTTCACATCCCATTCTCGGATGCCCCCAGTGGGATAATGGTTAGCACACGGGACTTGCAATCCAGAGGTCAATGGTTCACTCTCCCGGTGTGATATTTGAAGCAATGGCGCACATTTATTGAATCCAACTATACTCATTGTTTTTTTTTTCGATAAAGTCACGTATGAAAAATAATAACTAAATTAACACATATCCTAGTAATAGGTTTTTACCCTTTCAACTGGTACAAAACTGTTTGCATTTTGACTGCTTGTGTTGTGGTTATTGCAAACATGATGCCTTGTATAAAGGTGTCAGTTTTGTACCAGTTGAAAGGGTAAAAACCTATTACTATATTTTGCTACTGGTAAAGGAGATGTCTCATAGTGGAAATACATATCCTGTTATTTATTAACTTTTAAATTATAATTAATTAATTAAATCAATATAATAAAAAATTGCTTATTTTAATTGTATTTATTTTATTTTTTATTTTATTTCTACATACGTGACTTTACCAAAAAAAAACGAGTATAATTTCTGCAGTCACGAAAGCTTCAACTTTAGACTTCTTAAATCCCCCTCCCCCGCTGTCCACTCAGCGGTATAAATGGGTTCTCCACGTTGAAGTCGATCGGCAGGTGGCGTGCGGTGGGCTACAGTGTGGGTACTCCGACCTCATCCAAGATGATTGGCCAGCATGGAAAAGTAGGCCAAATACCATCTGGAGGGGCTCTCTAGAGCTCTCACCAGCAGAGACTCTTTTGCCAGCAGTTGCATTAGCAAGATATTGCAGGCTGCACTTTTGCCTACTCTCTCTCTGTGTAATGTATATATGAATGCGTTGGTAATATTCCTACCATTTGTAAAGCGCCCCCTGGCATTAGTGCAGATAGATTATGTTTAGTTGTGCGTGATTGCAAGCATTGTCCATAAAAAACGACGGTAACATTATACATAAAAGCAATACATACTAATGAAACAGATTTTCCGAAAACAACATTACGCTGTTGCAAACAGTATCAAAACTGCCTGAAACTAATGAAAACTAAGACTATAGCAAATTTAAATTCATACAAATCTCAGAGGCAGTGGGGAAAGTTCTAAGGGTTTGAAAGTTGCTCATGAGAGCTCAGATGATGAATTGAAGAATTATTGAATTTATCCGTTCACTTAATTTGCATGTTGCTATAAAGCACACGCAATGGGCTGTCTCTCCCAGCGTGTATTTAGTTGATGTGTGTTTGACTCCTAAAATATGAATTCCCCCAAAACATGTAAATAATTGCAAGGTAGAGTATACAATAATAGAGTGTTTTTTGGGATAGATCGCATTAATATAAATGTGTCGTTAAACCCGGCACCACCCAACACAGCTAATTAGCAGGGTTTGTCACGTAAACATCACATGCCAATTAGTTACTAGTTCAGCACACCGGTGTGTTGGATAGTAAACCCACAACAGCCAGAGCATACTAGTGAAGTATCTTTGTCTACTATATTATATTGTGAATTGTAATGTATTCATGTCAGTTAGTTGCTGATAACATTGTCATTCCAACAAGGTGGTTGGCCAATTGGACTTAAGCGAAATATGAGTAGGCCGATTGAGATTAGCACGATTAAATGGGATTTGATTTCCTTTGGACAGCTGAGATTGACAAGGAAAACGAGTTTCAGCATTGTGTATTAAGAGGAACGTTTTCAACCGGTGCGTTCACTTTGACACGTGGATCAGTAAAAATGGACACTGGACAAAGAAAACGGAACACAAGCTGACGATCGCATGACGGATCGCGTGGAGAGATGCCCGTTTGGCACTACGCTGAGAGACAGAAAGAGGCCCGCTCGGGTCAGAGAACAAACGCAAGTGTAGAGACATCACATTGACAATTAAGACAACTAAGCTGGGCTTGAGTGGACAGGATGATGGCAAGTGGACGAGACCGGTAAGGAATTGCAGCCAAAGGGAGAGAGAGAGAGCATCCAGGAGCGGACCACCTTCACAGAGAAATTTCGATGATGAGATCAGTTCATGAGCAGGAGACATGGCTGGAACTAGCAACACAACCCTGAGTGATGGCGGCGAAGAGGGTAGGCCTCCATCCTGCAGTGGATAGACAATGGCTCGTGATGACGAATGTCAATGAAATCGCAGAATATTTCGCTAACTGCCGTTCGAGTTCTCAAGTCAGAGCGTTATTGTTGTCGTTGTTCAAATGACTTTGGAGTGATGTTCACCATCCCTTGTATGGCAATGAGCTGGTCGGGGAGGTCCCGCACGTTCGTGGGAGCTCGGCGAGTAAATTCATAGAACCGTCACTGTGGACTCCCCACAATTCCTACGGAATATATCGAACTCTGGACGAGCTGAGTCGACCCCTACGAACTAGAAAACCTTCCAGGTGCAAGCTGCACACTGTGACCAACTTGCCTGCTTGTCTCGCCGTTGTCTCCCACACGTTCTGCCTCCTGAAACATTTACGTTCATGGTAGCCAATCAGCGACGAGATCCGCGGAATGAAATGTGATCGAGGTGGCTGAGATAATGAATGAAACGTACGCGCGCAACGTCATTCCATCACAATCAATTTCGCGGTGTCGTATAATTACGACCTCCACCATCGTAATTCCCACCGGCATCTCCATCACCTATATCACCATCCTTATTATTGCCATCGGACATCTTTCCATTAAACGCGTGCCTTATTATATGTACAGCCACGAGCCTGTGCAGATAGAATCAATGAAATTCACTCACATCCTTCACTTCCTGGCCTCTCTCTCAATATCGCTACCACTGGCAATAACTCATTACACCTTGTAGGTCACCTGAGGCCAACATCATAGCAAAATCAACGGCCACCAGTTACTTTTCTTTAAATAAAAAGTCACCCAAGGTGGCCAAGAGTCAAACTGAACTGATTGTGTCCTTTTACCTGCAAGTCTGGGGAACGTGAGCGACAGAGCCAAGCTGCTGGCTGTGAGCGATTAGATTTAAGTGGGGTATGCTCTGGCCTAGTTAAGGGCTCGTGGTTTGAAGCTTGCTTTTGCCACTTGACTTGCAAAAATCAATAGCTTTGAATGTAGCCAATGTTGCGATACTCATTAACGTGCATTATTCACACCACCTGCTTGCTTTATGCAATCGTTGACGCAACTGCTGGTCAGAGAAAATAAAGTCAACAAATTAACTGCGCAGTTAGTTGGAAAATTTACTTGTATCAAAGCAACAATACGTGAGGTTGAGCGTATGCATCACATGCCTCGTTCATGCTGACTGTGGGCGTTGAAAAAATATATCCCAGCACCTTTTAGCACCAATGTATCATGGCGCATTATATGTGTCGTTATTATTTGAATGTTTAAAACCATATTCAATCAATGCATGCTACCTTCTATGATGCTGTATGCATCAGAAACGTGGACGATGACGCATAAAGAAGTGGAACCAGTGCCCTAAAGGTGCGCAAAGATTCACGGACTTGGAATTAGACAGAAAAGGGCTAACACGTGGATCAGGGAACGAATGCAAATTAGAGATGTCCTATTGATGGCGAAGGACAGTGGAGTGGGATTGAACAGAACACGAGGCTAGAAAGGATGATGGCCGATGGATTCGAATGGGTGATGGAATGGCAGCCAAATGAAAGAACGTGCCCAAGAGTACGACCACTGCGGAGATGGAACAACGAGATTAGCTCATGTGTAGCGGTGGAATGGCCTCGTAGCATCACAATATTGCGAGTGGTGGTAATGGTACGGGGGAGGCCTTCATCGAGCGGTGGATAGATCATGGCTGGTTATGATTTGATTCGACGCAAGTCCGTGAGAGCACTTTTCGGGACTTCTCAGTGACGTAGTCTTGGGCTAAATGAATCAAATTGAATGGATGTTCGAAACAAGTGTTAGCTGCTGTACACAGCGAAAATCCTGTTATGTGCGGCCCTGCCATTCAATTGTCAGTGAAACATTCCACATAGTTTGTATACTCTTAGTTTTTCGGTAAAGTCACGTAGGTAAGAAAATGAAATTAAAATTAATAAAAATAAAATAATAATAAATCACGACGTTTTGGAGGCAACACAAGTCTCCGTCATCAGGTGGGACCGTCACAGCCAGATTTGCTGTATCAAGTGAGGCAGGGATTCCAAGATGCAAGTTCTTAAATACAAGTTAAGGGGGAGGAGAGGGGGGGGGGGAGCTTATCAGAATGTGGTAGCCAATGAATGGAACGTATCGGGAGGGGCGGGTGGGCTAAAAGAGAGCTAAAATAGAGCAGTCACGAAAGCTTCAAATCTAGAATAGTTTGTATAGATGACGAATACTAATTTATTCACACTCGCTCGATTCCACATGTTCATAAGAATACGATTAATCAATTCTGGCAATTGCATGATGATGCTGGTTGTAACTCCCAGCGACACTTCGTACCCAGCTGATGAGTGTTATGAATTGCTCTCCGACCACACATCGTTGCTGCTGAAGCAGTGTTAAATGGACACAGGTTTTGTTCATCACACAACATCTATATGAATTGGGGATGTCGGGTGGAGGAGGGTTTATGACACACGTATGTGTGTTGAACTTTTTTTGCACCGTACGTAACCAACCGGGCAAACCAGAATCGAGTATGACTCGATTGATTATGTCTCAATGAATTGAGTCTTATCAAGGCTCTTGCTGGAGGCAAATTCAATGGCTCAACTGTAACCTCATAATCACCGCTGTGCAGAGCACCTCAAGCTTAACTTTTTCCCGTCAGCTACTTTTAATAATCCTGTCAATTTTTTAATTAAAATACGAATATAATCAGCGCATTATTATATTATTAATCAAATATTGTGAGTCTAAAATTAGACCAAGAGCATGCCAGATCAACTGCCCGATGCTGATCGATTATATAGAATAATTAGCTGAGTTGGCTTTGGAATCATATTCCAATAGAGACCGGGATGTGATCGTACACGTAAATAAATAAAATCCCCTGCAACACACATCCCCTCGTGCAAATGAAACATTTACTGGCCCTTTGAATATATATTTTGAACGTATGTGATCAAATTAAAAATAATGGGACATCAGATGTGCTTGAAATGATGCACATTTCATGCCTATTTTTAACACATTAAAATGCTCTCTATGTAGCCATTGCATTAAAATCGTCCCAATTTTTGCTTAACGCAGTATGACCAGACCACAGGTTTTGTAGATCGCATGAATCACAGTTTGAATGTTTGGCTGTGTGTGCGTTAGAGGAGCGGTAGTGCAGTGGTTAGCGCGCTGCACTATGAACCCGGCGAGTCGAGTTCGATTCCCGCTCACGGCCAGGTCCAGTGTCCAATATCTGAACCATTTCCTGGGCTTCCCCTACGTCGACTCAGCCTCAATTGAGTGCCTGGTGCAGTTTGTGAACATCGCCAATGGGGAAACAAAGGCATTCTGGCATGGTGTTGGCCACCCACCCCCACGTGTGCCGCGCTGGTCTTAACATGTGCTCGCTCGCAGCACTTGCCCCAAAAAGTCTGGTACGGCTATATGGGGGTTCTTTGTCTGTGTGAGGGTGCATTGGCGTCTTTTGTGAGAGCGCGTGTTAAGTGTCTATGCATTCTGTGCATGGAAGTATTTTTCATCACGAGGCAATCCTGTAATTGCTGGGCAAGTAATGATGCCTGAATTTATCAATTAAAATCGATTCTTCAGCTTACGTTATATCCATCAAATTGCGCTTGTTGGAGAATCGGGTTGTTGTATGTGAGTGGTTCACATGTAACATGCAGCAACTAGAGGCTGCTTCATTCACAGTCGTGGAAACAACACCGCCCCTTGGATGTATTCACAACCTCAAGTCATCACAGTGCATCGAATCGAAGAGGAGATGAATCACCACATGCCGAATATTTTATCACAAGCTACAACATAGTTTAAATGTTATAAGTTCGTGACATGTTTTAAGAATTAACTTATCTCCGGAACAGTGTTTTTGTGCCTTACTTTCCGTCCCTAGTATTGAGTGTTACATTGACAGACCTATCCAGATGTATGTTTTTTTTTGGTCGGAGAACACACAACTCACAACATCATTGTATGCTCATCATCCCTCCCAGGTCAATAAAATGAGTAACCACTAAATGAAAATCAACAGTGAGTACCCTGCGGATAAGCTAGGGCCTGCCATGGCAATATGGATCAGGGGCAGTGTTAATCTAGATTTGAAGCTTTCGTGACTGCAGGAATCCATAATATTTGTTTTTTTCGGTATAGTCACTTAGGTATAAAAATAAAATAAATCACGAAGTTTTGAGCGCAACACAAGCATCCGTCATCAGGTGGGAAAGCATGGCCCGAAACGTCGTGATTTTTTATTTTTATTTTTTTATATCTACGTGACTTTACCGAAATAACCAAAGAGTATAGTGTTAATCTTGATTAATACAATTAATAATCGAGGAAAATATTCGTCAACAATATTTTATACATCCGTTTATAGTCAACGGTGACCGAGCGAATGAAAGTCATCGGTTATGACGACGAGAATGCCTGCTGCCCACACCAAAGGCCAACAATGCTTGATTGTTACGAGACGAAATTAACTTAAACTGATTTAAAACTCTGACGGATATGCTTTAGTAACGTTAGCAGAGACAGCAGCATACCGCGGAAGGCCACACATGGTAATTGACTATACAGTATATGTTCTATACAGATTTACTGGCTTCATTGATCAGCTGACCTGATAATATTGGCGTGGGCGAGGGTGAAATTGCTCACCCCTTTACATCAATATTGGAAGAAGAAAAAAAACAAGAGCGGACAATTTTTTTTTGTTCTCTGGCACTTTAGTTGACAAGACGAAGCTGATGGCTAATTAAATTCCCACAGACTCGGACTTGAACAATATCCCACAGATTGTCACTGCCAATGCCAGGGGTCGGCAAAACAAAATAACAAGAAGAGACATTTTTTTTATTCGAATTCGGTAACTATTTTTTTTTTATATTTCACGAGATGCGCGATGCGGTCCTCGATAAATAACGGTCACAAAGCGGCCCATAAAGGGGCCGCATGCGGTTCCGGAGCGACCCATGGCCCAAGCTAAGACAATCCCTTAAACCTTATAGCCCTTCCCTTTCTGTGCAGCACGTTGGGGCAACGCGGCTTAGCGACTTCTTGCTGTTTTCGACCAGCTGAGCAACGCCATCCCACGCTGTTCCAAACCGCATTCACACGGCCGTCGCTGGCGTCTCTTTGTTCGATTTTTTTTTGTCTCCCATTTTCTTCGCTTCGTGTTCCAATTCATTGCCTGCCCCCGTGCAATGCCCGGTTCTCGTTCACGCGACGCGGAGTTCCCAACCGCGTTGATTGTCCCACGGCTATGGGGGGCGGTGACGAGGCCTCTGCGGGAGCGTGTTCGCGCGGCTTGTTGCAGAGGAACGCGGTTCGAATCGCTCTGGTCCCCCAAGTTATTACCGCAGGCGTATCAACCGCAAATTAACACTCGACGTCAGCCTCGAAACGGTAGGCCTATCGTGTGTTGGCCCAGCTTTACCGTTGATGATTGTTTTTTTTACCCTTTTATCTGTCAACAAAACTGACACCTTTTTACAAGGAGTCATGTTTGCATAGACCACAATACCTGCAGTCATAATGCAAACAAAAAACATAACTCTTATCAGAAAACATAACTCTTATCAGAGTTATGTTTTTTGTTTGCATTATGACTGCAGGTATTGTGGTCTATGCAAACATGACTCCTTGTAAAAAAGGTGTCAGTTTTGTTGCCAGATAGACGGGTAAAAAAAAAACAATTATCATATTTTTTTACTGGCAAATGAGGTTCCAATGGAGCTTTACCGTTGTTTGAAAAATCACTTGCGTATTACTCTATTGGGATTTACGCATGGCAAACATCGCCCGTTGCTGTCAAACTATAGCAGACAACGCCTGTGCGAAACAGCGCTTTCATGATGGCCTACGCGCTTAGCACGGCTGCGACACCAAATTGGCTACTTTATGAATAACTTATCGTGACGAGAATAAACAAATTCGGACGAAACGAACACGGGATCCGGGCCGTGGACGGAGGTGGCCGTTCCGCGACGCTTTGTTTGATATTTCGGCGTTTGTTGTCGCGGCAGCTCCAGCAGTTCACGCAGCAGCAGCTGTCGACGCAGGGACAGCCGAATCCAGCGTTCGGACCGGCCCTGGAGCTTGTGGAGGCCAACCTGCGATGGAGAGAGGCCAACGAGGACAACCTCACCGCGTGGCTGGAGAAGGAGCTGCACGCCAGCCAGCATCAGAACCACCTCTTGTAGCCTCCGCTTGTTGAAATCCAACGAACACATAATATTGACAACAGCAGCTGGTGGAAGGGTTTTTTGTTGTTGTTGTTGTTGTTCAAGTGCGTACAGTGCTGTATTTATTTCTACCCCGTCTTAATTCATGCGGGTGTTGTTGTCTTTGGGTCTGTGTTATTGTAACGGTAGCCTCGGAGGGAGTTGGCACAAAATATTTTCTCGAGAGGCTATTTCGAGCTCCCTCTAGTGGATGCCCCTCACTGCAGCAGTGGTGTGAGCAAGCAATTGCAGGACTCCACTTGTATCTTCTTGTAACGGTAACTTCCTGGGTTTGAGGTGTTAAGGACGATGCAGCTGTCGGGATTCGATCTTCCAACGCAGCCTCCGTGTGGGTATTTAAAACAGGGGAATCTGTTCGGCAAAGGGGGTTTCTAACAAATGTCTTTACCGTACGTAATCCATTGTCCCCGAGTTGCCGTGTAATTTCAAAATCTCCAGTCAAACGTGTGAAGCACACCGGCGGATTCTCGCCGTGCGCAAGGCACAGTTGGCTTAAATATTCACAGCACCGTCCGTGCACAGTGGGAAATGCATTCCCACTGTGCACCTAATATGTACATGATGGTATAACCATACGGCTGTAAACGTCTGCGGCCCCACGAGTTTGCTGTTGTGCTGAATGGCTCTCCGATGTGTGCTCCGGCTGAACGGGGTGTTTTTCGGCACGGTGTCTGACGTTTCGCTGTGAATGCCGAGCGTTATTCAACGCGATTTTCCCACATTTTCGCTCGGGCAGCACTTTGAGCAAAACGTCGGACATGTCACCGTTTCAAGACGCGGACAGCTGCGTGGTCTGCAGTGTTGTGATTGGTGAATTTATGAAACTGACGGTGATTGTATTTATTACAACTGGACGTATGAATTTGACACTTCATTGGCCCTGCAACTTGCCGTTCAGAGTTTTAAATCCTCTCCGTCGCCACGGCCCCATGGTTTTTAACGTGACCTCTGAACCCCCAGCCCCAAAAATGGGCGAACTCCCTCGTGATTTCACGCTCGACGTCCGCTGTTCAATTGCTCGCGCCCTTCTAAAAAGTCGCTCGCGTGCATCGCTCGCGACACGGCAGCGTGCCCAACGCAGAGCGACAGGGGCTGGGACGTGTCGCGTTCACCTTGGGCGCTCAGCGCAGCGTCTCCGACTTGACTTTTCGGTCTGCCCTCTCTCGAGGCTTGGCCCTCCTGTCCATCTCTTCGTGCACAAAGCAGGCGACGTTACTCAGGCGGGGGGTGGGGGGGGGGACCAGAGCACAAAAGTCCTGGTTCCCTGGTTCCCTCGCAAGATTTCTTCGACTTGTCCAATTAGCAAGCAGGTTGTTCTTCCTATCCCCCGGGATGAACACACGAGAATGCCGAGCTAACATTGCCTAGCGACGGCTGACACGCGACGGAGGAGGAGGAGTAGGTGGTGGCGACGGTGGGGAATGTGAAGGGGTCGGATGAAATAACAACAAGAGCAACAACGAAGCACATCTTGGAAGAAGTTTGTACTCTCTCTAACCTTTGTGATGTTTTAATAATGTAGAGGCCGCGCCTTGGGTATTGCGTCCACTCGGGCACTTGACACTAAAGAGCCTTGATGTGCCGAAGGTCCCCGCTGCCCTTCCGGCTAATCCAACATTAATGTCTTTGGTTGCACTCCGCCATCTCGTAACAAGAAAAGAAAACGCTTTTTATTGCCTTTTATAATCGAGACACAAGGGGGTTATGTTGGGCTCCAATTCTAATGGTGTTCGCGACTTGCAATGCAGTTGCCCTCCCCCTGTTGCCCGCTCCTCCCGAATTATCCGAATAGATTCAAACTGATCATCAGTGTTTCATAATAGAGGTTTTTTGGGGGGTTAGATCGCGTAAATATATAAATGTGTCGTTAAAACCCGCCACCACCCGACACAGCCAACTAGTAAGGGTTGTCACGTGAACAGAACGTAGCCAATTCGTCACTAGTACAGCACGAACCGGTGTGTTGGAGAGCCAAGCTACAACAATCGCAACTGTTGCAGTAAAACGCAGTTAATGTGTTCAGCAGTTTATACAACTTTGCAGCTGGAAACATACTCAATTGTTTACGTTTGAGGATTAAGAACAAGGTTCTTCTGTTCAGCTTTACACACGGTAGGAACAAGCATTGTTCGTGAAAACCTATTGAGAGAGAAATCCCACGTGCCCGGCACCACTCATGCCCTCCGTTGTCTCGCACGTACCGCCGTTTACAGGTTGTACCAGGTAGTCATTCTAATACTGAAGTTGACCTCGGTGAACCCCAGGACAGGTTCATTTGCCATCCAGCACTGGCTTCGAATCGAGCGCCAGATTTGTAAATCAGTGCGCTAACCACTGTACCGCCGCTCCCCGCACAACACAAAAAGATAAAAGACAAAGATCCCCCCCCCCCCCCATATAGCATGGACAGATTGTTGGGGCAAGTGCTGTAAGCGAGCACCTATGAAGGCCGGCACGGCACACGAAGCGGTGGGTGACCAACACCACGCCCGGCCGCCTTTGTCTCCCCCATTGCGATTTTTACACACTGCACCAGGCACTAATTTGAGGCTGAATTTACCTAGGGGAGGCCCAGGACCGGTTCAGATAATCGTCACTGATGTTGGCCGTTAGCAGGAATCGAACCCGGGTCGCCGGGTTCATAGCGCAGCGCGCTCACTGCTACACTACCACACACACGCGCGCGCGCGCACACACGGGCACACACACACAACTTGAAAATTGGTCATCATAGACAGCTAACAAGGGCGAGTTTTGCGGAACGACACGGCCAGGTGTGCATTCACTTACATTTAATGCGGATTCCACACGGAAAAAAAAAACAATCAATCACTCAGCGGAGTGTGTCAGCCACACCAAACAATTCTACAACTTTGCATTTCTAGCCCAAGTACAGTTTAAACGACGGGCCCTTTTGTCCACAGGAAAGAGGAATCGTGTTGACGCCGAAGGCGACCTACATCGATTTCCACAGTTGCGGCATCAACAAAAAAAGCACTGATGCAATCACTTTTCATATATTTTTTTTTATTGTGAGCAGATATTAAAGATGCACGGGGCGGCTGTAGGGAAAGCTGAATGGGAACCTCTTCACCCATGCCCTGTTCATTTTCGACTCGGGACATGCGCCGAGGGTGCATTTTGGTGGACGTATCAAAAGTCGGAGTAGTCGAGACTTTACGGGAGAGTGGCGGCCGGGGGAGGGAACGTGCACTGATGGGAACGGACATCCGCCGTGGAGATGGAGCGATGAAATCAGCTCAGGTGCTCGGAGGATTATTAACTTGGTAGAGGCAATGAAGGAGGCTTTTGATCCCACCGGTTTATTGCTGCTGATGATATGGACACGGGCTTACATGGATAAGCCTAGCCCGCGACAGTGGAGTTGCGATTAAGGGTGTATGGTCCTCTGGGGATATCGTTGATGGTTTAGATGGCCAATGGTTTTATAGCGGTAATTATTATCGCGAATTTCCATTGGTTTTGAATGGATTGTGTCACCTCTGAATTTAAAACTAAACTAAAAGGGGCCTGCAGGCTAACACTACTTTGAACGCGTGGATAGAGTACAGCAATTTAAGATAGACACTTCAACAGTATCAGGTAAAAGCCAACAAAAGCGATTGAAATTTTCCAAATTATGTTTGAGTGTTTTTTTTGTTTAAAGAAAATTCTCTAAAAAAGGTATTATTAAAAGCACTGCGTTTTATGGTAATGTAGAATAATCTAGTGAGCTATGAAGTGCAGGTCCTGGATGGATCGTTGTATCGCAGGATCGTGAGAGCTGGTGGAGCCTTGGGGAGTCCTTCAGTAGTCGATTGATCATGGCCTATGACGATGAGTAGGAAACAGAGGGCAGCGGAGTTCGATTTCCGGCAAGGGCTGTCGTCAGTGGCAAATCTGGCCCGGTCATGTGACCCCTCCCACCCCTTACCCAATCCGCACATATGCTTCCGTGGTGAAGTATGTTCAAACAACCCCAATGACTGACATGGCGCTGGGAGGCCTTCATCCAGCAGTGGATTGACAAAGAGCTGTACATTATGTAATGCAATTTCACGGCTTACTTCTGGACTGGCTCCCGATGATGAGATACGTCTCAGTCTGTCTCAGCCTGTAATGCCTCAAGTCAAGACAGAAATCACCAAGATAGTCCAGACCGATATGTCTCACAAACAACAATAAATGTGACAACTTGAAGCAGTTTTCATAAAATGTATGAGTTGATCTACTTCTGATCATGGGATTAAAGAATTATGGCATATTTTGAGATTCACAGAAATTCGACATGCTGGTTGCTTCGGATGCTGCTGCTAATAAAAAAAACAATGTATGGTCAATAATCTCGTAACAAAAATAATTTTATGAAAACTTCCAACTTGGAGCACTATCATAATATAACAGCTACAATGTATTGATAAACACTGAGCTCAGTGAATGTTTTGAAACTGAGTACTGTGATTTAAAGAAAATATATAAACGACAAAGACCCACTTCATGGATTGGTTTGTTCTTGTATTTTTTCGGGATGCGGTGAGCGAGTTTTTAATTGCTGTTATTATATTTTGAAAGTCTACATCTTTGGTCTATTTGCTTGGCTACACCGGCCCCCTGGGATAATTGTGTGATGAGTCATTATGAACATAAATTAGATGCGATCTTTTAATCTGAGCTTAGCTGAAACTCTCTCGTGTAACAAGCCTAACAACATTCTGTGTGTTTAAAAGCCGTACTTCTTCCTCTTGTATGCGTGAGTCTTAACCAGGTGCATGGCTCGAGACTGGCGAAACGTTGTTTCTGTGAAAATCTATTTTGCTTATTATCATCTAAATAATGTTTCTGATTTATTGGCAGTAAGTAAATATAAATGAAGATGTGTGTTTGCAACCACATGCAACATCAAGCACAAAGTAATTAGAGCATGAGTTCCTTTTGATTTAAACGTGACGTGTGGCGCTGTGGTATCCTAAAGCAGTTCGTCTTTTATTGATGCAGTCGTCTTTTCACAATTTATTTCCAAAGTGCGCACTTGCAGCTTGATAATTATAATGAGGACATTGGCCGTGAAGTTGACGGCATAGGCGGTGACCATGCTGAAGATGGATGGTGAAATTGGTGATGGTGATGGGATGTGTAAAGATGGAATTGGATACTCTCAAATTAAAATATATACACGAGTTATTTTTCGATGGATTTTTTTTATTATTTGTAAATATGACAGAGTTTCTCCTAGCCTATTATACCATTACATGAAACTCAAACTTACAGATTTTTTAACTTGGTATAATATCGTCTGATTTCTGTGCAGTATTATTGTGTATGAAAATATATACATGGTATATATCATTTTTACTCGTAATGTGCTTTTGATAAATATGATCCGTGCTCATGCTGTTGTTTCACGTGTAATCATGCCGCATGCTAAGTATGTAAATTATGTGTTAATTTACAATACATGTTTATGGTGTTCTTTATTTTATACCTTTAATCCCAAGGTCACGGGACACTAATGTGATCCATCCATTCTGCATTCGACTATGAAGAAAAGTAATAAAATGTGCATTAATTATGCATTGCCTACAGACTACAGGGTTTCTATCGGTGACGGGATGAAATTACATTAAATTTGTTTGCGCAATATATATTGCACAATGTTCTTATTTCTACCTGTGGAAGAGTGGGAATAAATTAATCTCACAGTGGCTTGTTAGCGTGTTTTCTACACGCTGATAGTCTTGTAATGTGTTTGATGGTTGCGCAGTCACGATGTATAATTCATTTTTGGATACTGCATTCATCATTTTCGTTTTACTGCACCTGTGCTCATAATATCTAGCGGCTGCATGCTCAGTGGAACATTGTATTTAGACCTTGCTTATGGAGAACCCAGGCTCACTTGCGGTGTTATAAATATTGCATTCATCCGTGATGTGACCTCTGACTTTGAATATGACTGTGTTACGGTAACTTCTTGATGCTACTTTGTTGTGTTGAACATGGATAATAAAGAGGAAGTTTTCTACACTTAAAATCTCTTGATGTTTAAAATGTAATACTATTTAAAGACGTTTAACGTTGTAATGCTGTTGGTGACCAAAACACAATAATATTAATTTATTCATGTTTGAGTTGGCATTAAAATAAATTGAGTTTTTTGCAATCGGTCTTATTTTCACCCACGAATGTGCTAAACATAATTGAAACAACGATGACGTAATTGTACAGACAATTTATACCCAATATCAAAGTTAGCACTAGCAATAGGATTGAAGTAAATGATTTAGTGATAAAGGAATATAAGTTTTGCAGACGCTTTCCAAAATATACCTGACTTATTTTAAGTTGCTATTCGATCAATAGATGGCCATTGATTTTAAGACAAAAATAATAATACGAAACAAGAAACACAACAGAGCGCATGCTGCATAGTTGCAGTATTTCACAAAATACTGTTTCGACATTTCCTCGCCAGGATTGTAACCATCTGTAAAATAAACTAAATATTCATTAAAACAGATTTTCATGGTGTGTTTAATTTTGCAAAATAGAAATGCATTCACTTGTAGCAGTATTATATTGTGCGCTGAATTTAAAAATACCTGCTTTAATGCACATTAAAATTACAGAGTCAGGATATATTGTCGTTTTTCTTCCCTCGGGGTGAGAGGGAGGTGTAAATTTTCAAATTGCATGCTTATCCCAGCCCCATGGCACCACCCTTATCTTCAGTGCATGGGTCTTTTCATTAGTGTGCAAGTCAGAGAAATTACTACACAATGTATAGATTGCACGCTTTGTTGGCGCTGTTGCGTGCAATTTCCATTGGCCTTCAATCACTCTTTAAGTCCATAGACATTAACTTGTGGTCATCAAAGGCATCGCTTAATTTATGCTTTATGCATATACCACAAACATGAATTTAAATTTTGACGTCCGCGTGTAGCCTCGCAGTGAGGCATTTTTGTTGCCATTACAGAATCCCCGACTCCACAGGTCACGTCATGGTAAAAATTATAGGTGGTTGTGAAACATTATAATCATTGGAACCTCATTTGCCAGTAAAAAATATGATAATTGTTTTTTTACCCTTCTATCTGGCAACAAAACTGACACCTTTTTTACAAGGAGTCATGTTTACATATGAAGTACTCTTCAAGACGCGTGGACAACGTGGTAAGGCACACGTATTTATTTGCACAATGTCTTACAGCACTGGAGGGATGTATCGGCCCCCTCACCCGTACAACTGGGAATTCACCCCTAGCTAGCCTTCCTAGCCGAGTCCTCCGCTAACGGGCTAGGGGAGGCTGTCTGGCCCGACACTGGTTAGTCGGGCTACGGTACCCGGAATCCCAGAGGTCTAACTCTGGTTCCGGGACCACGCCACTGGCTCCAGCCTGCGCTGCCCTTACAAGGGCGGCGTCCCAGGGGGAGTCCAGGGCCTATCTGGCCGGTCTTCTGTCTTTCCTTAACTACCCTAAGACTGAGCCCCGAGCTCTCTGGCTCATCCCTTTTTATACCCCCCTAGAGGATCGAAACCCCCCTCACGCCGTCCAGTGCGGACGTCGTTGCGGGCACCACCCCGTGTGCTCACGGAGTCCCCGCCCACTGTGTTTGCTATCCGTTAGCCCCTATGCAAACAGCCCTACACAACCAGCCCCTCTGTAACAGCCCTACATCACCCCCCCCTGTACAGCTCGCAGCCGTCCCGGCTGCAACAACTTTTAATAAAGGTTATTTAACCCCTGGATCCCCGCGTGTGCCTTAAAAAACGTTTTTAACGCTAACATGAAGGAAACAACAGCAACAACGACAACAACAACAACAATGACAACAACAAAACCCACAACCCCGAAGGGAACAATCCGACGCACCCCCCCTGAATAAATACGAATACCGTAAGAGCGACGTATATATACAGGTTTAGCAGGGAACTCCCAGCACGCATGCAACACAACAAAAAAAATGTGGTAGGAGCTCCCCACAGACGCAGCACCACGCAACCGTACGTAAGAGAGAAGAAAAAAAAATGTTCGTCCAATGCATTATAAGAGTCTGCGCATTTTTGCGCGTGTCCTTGCTGCAGGCCCGTCACACGGGGCAATCCCGGGTGGCGAACCCGCCGGTGGCGGTTGTTCGTTTTGTATAGAGTCCGCGTCTGACGTCGCGAGACCCTCGGCGTCCCTCGCAGCAGTAGGTGGGTGCGAGCTCGTCAGTCCCGGTGCACCTGTGGGTGGGACAGCCGGCGACACGTCAGGCGAGGGCAGTGAGGACGGACCATCTGAGTCGGCCGACCCCCCACATGTTTGGCCATGCGTGTGTGGAGTGGGGCCTCGCACCGCAACGAATGGTTTTAGCCTCGAGGGGTGCACAAACCACCGGCGCTTCCCCCATTTGATGCGAACACACTGAGGCCGCAGAACCTCGACCACCTCCATGGGCCCCCTCCACGGCCGCGCCAGTTTAGGGGATGTTGCGAGCGGTACCTGGGGGCAGTGCAGCCATGCTCTGTCCCCCGGCTTCCACTGCAGCACGTGCGCGCGACCCAGTCTGAGGCGCTCGTTAGCTTTTTGACGCTGTTCCGAATTTAACATGGCAGCATCCCGTGCCTCCGTCAATTTTTCAAGGTTAAATTTGACATGGTCAATTAATTTAGTTTTTCCTAGTGGTGTGGGGATCTGCAGCTGCGCCCGAATGGGTGGGTCAGGGTCGCGCCCATACATGAGGAAGAATGGCGAAAATCCCGTTGCAGCATGGGGGGCCAATCTGTATGCTGCCAAGACCCCTTGGATTTTCAAGTCCCAATCCGTCTGTGAGTCCGAAACCTGCTGTGATAACATAGACGAGATGGTGCGATGCAGACGCTCGACCATCCCGTCAGTTTGCGGGTGATAGGGGGAAGTACGAATCTTTTTCGTTCCTAGGAGCTCACAAACCTGTTGGAGGAGTTTTCCGGAAAAATTTCTACCCTGGTCGGTCAGCAGCCGTTCCGGGGCACCTTTGTCCATGACATAGCCTTGGACAAAGGCGTCGACGATGGCTGCTGCCGACTGATTGGCCAGGGGCCAGGCCATAGGCCAGCGCGTAAAATACTTGACCCCGGTTAACAAGTATCTGTTTCCCCTAGGGGTGGCGGGGAATGGGCCCAGAATATCCAGCGCGACAAGTTCGTTTACTCTGGAGACCCTGATAGACTGCAAGGGCGGGTTAGATTCTCGCGCTGGTGGTTTCCGCTGTGCACACCTCGGGCATGAAGCCAACAGATCAGGGACATCCCTTGTCATTCCTTGCCAAAAGAAATCACGCTGGAGCAAGGCGAGGGTCTTTTGGGTACCCAGGTGGAGGAGGCGCTCATGAGCAGCCCACACCACCCTACCCCGTAAGCCCGAAGGGACCACCAGCCGGTGTCGGTGGGATTTCCCGTCCCAGTGCAACAGCAACCCCGCGTGCATTTCCCATGCGTCGGCATCACCCGATCCCCGCCCTGCCTCCCCGGCG